AGCAGCGTTTGCTCATCCTACTCAAAGACTTTCTCTGCCTGCTACCCGACTCTGCGGTGGATGAAGTGCTGCGCCACTACGTCAAGCTGGAACTGCTCCTGGTGCTATCCAATCAACGCAGCTGTGTGGTGCGGCAGGCCATCATCCAGCTGCTGCACGTGCTGACCAAACGTTTGGGCAATGTCGAACTGGCAGCCGCCTCGAAGCTGCTGTATCCCCTCCACTTGGCCAATCAGTTGACCATTCACCCGTGCGACATTTCGATGTTTGAGGCGTGCCTGGCATGGGTGAGCGGTGTGCATGGCAGCCTCACAGATCTCCTCAACTGCGAGGGTTCACTGAGGATACGTCAGCGCTTTGGTTTGCAGTCACTGCTGGCCATAGCCACGGGCACAGAGCCGCAAAAAGTGTTTAAAGCGCTGCAGCGATTGTATTTGCAGGTAAAGTTTCGTTTATTCTTTGTTTTCCTCTTGGTAATCCTTCTCTTTGCATAGAATCCCGACGATCAGCTTTGCCTGATTGAGGCTGGACTGCTGCAGTGCTCGGTGAAGGCTTTGTACAAGATTTACTCCCTGCGTTTGGGTCCGCCCAATGCGGATGAGTCCATTGTGGATTTGCTGGTGCACATAGGCGATCGTGCGCTGCGCTCTGTGGGTCAGATAAATGTAAGTAGCTAAGAACTAAACAAGGAAATCGCTTACAAAAATTGTTTCCCCCTTCGCTAGCTCCTTTGGGACATACTCAATCTGTTGGCCTTCTATCAGGACAAGCAGCCACAGCAGATTGTGCGCAGCTTTCGCACCGTTCAGGCCCAACTGCAGCTGGAGTGGCTGACCAAGTTGTTCGAGCCAAATAGCTTCAGGGTAGCCGCTCAGGCAGACTGCCCGCTCAGTCATGCAGAGCTGAGGACACGCGTGGAGCTGCTCATCGATCGCTGCAGTCAGTTCTTCACTGTGGGCATGGGTCAGAGCCAGACAGCGGGCTCCACGAGCTATGTGGCCAGCTCTCAGGAGTTGGCACTGTTCCAGCTGCTCGTCTCGTATGGGATATCGAGCAATCAGCGCTGCAACAATTTCATTGCCTGGGGACTGCAGCCGTCGCGTCCGCGTGATCTACGCGCCTACATTGTGGATGCGCTGTGGCGCTCGCAGCAGGATGAGTTCCAGCGTGCCATTATCTGTGATGGGAAGATGATTAAGGCGCTGCTTTGGCTCTCGCTGCTCGAGGATATGGTGGAGCCCATTGAGAATCTGCAGCGTTTGTGCGATGCGCTGGGCATCAAGGAGAACGATTCCTCGTGGAATTTGGTGCACGAACTGGAACGCCTCGATCAGAGTCGCAGCAACATGGCAGCCAAGCAGAAGACGCTGCTCGAGAAGACTGTCTATCGGTTTGAGCCGCTGGTGCAGCATTGTGTGGAGTCCTCAATGGTGACCACCAGGCGCATGGTGGAGTTGCAGGTGAGAGCAAGGAATGCAGCTTTAAAGTGGAAGTTTCAAGGGTTATTTTTCCCTTTTAGAACGCTGAACGCAAGCTGCTGATGTGCCACATGAAGGACTACGATGACACTTATACCTACACCAAATGGCTGGAGATTATACGACGCATGACGCATGAAGGCGCACCCTGGCACTGTGCCGAGCGAGCTGAGTGTTCGTGGGAGTTGGATGACACGGAGGGACCATCGCGTGTGCACACGCGTCTGCGTCGCTGCCATTTGGACATTGATCGACGGTTTTTCATGAGCGAATACCGAGCGGGACAGCAGGCACATCGCGAGGATACAGAGAACTATGTGCGCCCGTTGGACTATCTGATAGCCAGCTACGATCAGCAGCTAAACATCTCGTTAAACTCTCAAATTTTGTACAACTTTGCGGCCAAGTTTCTGCCCGTGGACGGTGAGATTGAGGGGGAGATTATCATCACCGATTTGAAGCTGTATTTCCTGGCCACGTACCGCTGTCGTTACTTCAATGTGAACTGTGATATTGCCAACATAACAGAGATCTGGCTGAAGCGCTACCAGCACCAGGAGACAGCCTTTGAGATCTTGCTGGACACGAACAAGTCGCTGTTCTTTTCGCTGCAAAATGCCGACGATTGGAAGATAATGCGCGATGTATTCTGTGATAAAATTGTGGCCACGCCCGATCAAACCAAAGTGCTGGGCATCACGCAGCAGTGGCGCGAGGGTTTGCTCACCAATTGGGAGTATTTGATGACACTCAATCAGATTGCCGGACGCACCTACAATGATCTCATGCAGTATCCGGTCTTTCCCTGGGTTCTGGCCAACTACAACTCGGAGATTTTGGATCTACGCGAAGCGCAGAACTTTCGACGCCTCGAACGACCCATTGCCGTGCAGCTAGAGGAGAATGAAAAACATTACATCAGCAATTATACAGTGAGAATCATTATTGGGCCATTGCCAATTCTTTTTACTATAACTCTGGTGTCTTTTCAGTACATTGACAGCACCAATACCACCATGGGTTCGCTGATCCTGAAGCCGTATCACTACAGTTCGCATTACTCCAACTCTGGCACAGTGCTTCACTTTCTGGTGCGTGTACCTCCCTTTACCAGCTACTTTCTGCGCTATCAGGACAACGATTTCGATCTGCCGGATCGCACATTTCACGCGCTGAACACCACCTGGCTACTGGCCAGCCGCGACAGTCCCACGGACGTGAAGGAGCTCATACCAGAGTTCTTTTGCCTGCCGGAAATGTTCGAGAACTTTGAGCGCTTTAATTTTGGCTGTCGACAGAATGGAGAGCGGGTGGAGGATGTTTCGCTGCCGCCTTGGTGCCAGCGAGACTCGAGGCTCTTTGTGCTGATCCACCGACAGGCGCTGGAGTCGGAGCTGGTGCGGAATCAGCTGCATCATTGGATTGACTTGATCTACGGCTACAAGCAGACCGGCGAAAGTGCTGTCGAAGCCATTAATGTGTTTCATCCAGCGGTGAGTAGGGGATAAAGCGAATCTGCAGTACTTCAACTTCAAGTTTCTCCATTCCCAGACCTACGCGGTGTTCCTGGACTCGGAGATTAGTGATCCCATTGAGCGGGAGGCAGTCAAGACAATGGTGAAGACCTACGGCCAAATGCCGCGGCAGCTCTTCAAGTCCGCGCATCCATCGACCAAAGCGCTGGACTACTCGCTGGTGGACAAGCCAATTGTGTCCACGGTGCGTGGCCTGCGCTGGGGCGTCTATGTGGGTTCGCCGCAGCTCAAACCCCCCTCCTGGTCGAACATACACAAGATACCCGGCACAGAGCATCTGGTGAGCTTCAGCAACACGAATGTGGTGTACGCATTGCCGAGACGTGCGGCTGTCATGCAGGGAGCCGAGCCGGACACATACAACGTCATCTCGTGGGGCTACGACGATCGCATTGTGAGGATTCAGCCGCTGAATAAACCCCAAGCAAAGCCCAAGAATCTGCTGCACAATGGAACCTTTGATGACATCACCGCCTGCGGCTGCGACGTGAACTCCAATCAGCTCTGGTTCGGTCACAAGTCTGGGCGGGTGAGCGTGTACAAGTGCGCCGTCGGATTAGACACCCAACAGCGGGCCACGGCCAAGAGTCGACAGAGCTATGCGCGTGGCTTTAGTCTGTCGTACAATTCGGCTTTCCGCAAGATGACCAACAAGAGCATGAGCGGGGCTGGAGCTGAGGAGTCAAGTGGTGTCCTGCATGCCACACATTCAGCTTCATCGGTGAGCTCTGCGGGCAATTCCTCCGGCAGCGATGGAGTGCAGCGTGACGGCGCGGATCTAACCTGGCTAGGTCCCACGCTGCTGGTGCGGCACACCGATGAGATCACCTGCATAGCCCTGTCCGTGGAGTTTAAGATTGCCGTGACTGCAGGACGCGATGGCATTGCTGTTATCTGGGATCTCAATGAGTGAGAAAAACCCCCAAGAGTCGCTTCTAGCTATGTATCTCTTAATCCTGCAACTCTTTACTTTCAGTTGGAGCTATGTGCGTACGATTGCCCGCCCCGCGGAGATCCATCAGTCGCCCATCACGCATGTGGCTATAAGTCCCACACTGGGCGACATTGTCACCGTGCATACGCTGCCCCAGCAGCCGAGCACGGGCCCTGCGGATGCACAGCCACAGGCAGCTGCAGTGAGAACCAATTCTCTGGCCATTGCCGACGAATGTTTCGAGGTAACGGAGGAGAATCTGGATGACTTTGTCAATGTGAATGTCAATCCCAATGGCAAGTCGATACTGCGCCTGCACTCGGTCAATGCGCGCTATGTGCAGCATCTCGTGCACGAGGATCGCATCCTGGCCGTCTGTTACTCCTACATCAAGGAGGGAGTGGGCGTGAATGTGATTGCCACTGCTGTGGAGGGTGGCTTTGTGCGTTTCTGGTCGAGTTGGAACCTTAGTTTTGTGAGTGAACTAACCACGGGCACATCGCCCCTACGCAGGTGAGTTTTGGCAGCCAAATAAAGTCAGGTATAGACTCTTATTTGACTTCTCTCCTCTTTGCAGCATTAGCTACTCGACGCATCAGCATTTGGTGGTGTTGACACGAGAGTCGCACATTCAGGTCTGGCAATCCGAGGGTCTCTACGGCAATGCCCCCAAATTTCCACAAATTGTTTACAAATGAACAAAGAAAAAAAAAGCATATCAATGACACGACGACACATAAAAATACTGATAAAAGCTGCTGAATCAAAGGGACATTTGGAGTGCATCAATCTAAGCTTGTGCTCCCATCAAAGTTCCATCAAAATATATCAAGCAAAACACTTAAGATTCTTAGGCATATATAATATTACGAGTTTAAGGGTCTCATAGAGCTGTTAAATACATTTTTTTGTACCAAAACTTTTATAATTTACACACCAAACACACACAAAAAGACAGACAGACTTTATATTTTTGTTTTGGTTTTCCTGATTGATGCCTGCGCGCGCTGCCTTCAAATTGTTGATATTATCAAATAAATTATACACATAATATTTTGCAAAGAACTAAACGATTTACTCTCGTCAAAACATATACAATTATGGTATGTATAAATGCTACAACTAAGGCTAAAACTAACTACAATTTTGATGCTTCCAGGCATCCTCCTCCTCCGCTGCTGTCAGCACTTCCAGGGCGGTGCCTTGTTGCTGCCACAGCCATTGCGTTTGCTCGGCTTGCTGGCACCACCCTTCTTGGCGGTTAGGGCCAGTATCTCGTCGAGCTTGTCGAAATCGCTGGGCGACTTGCTCAGCAGCAGCTCAATGTATGCCGCGAGCTTGTCCATGGGCGATGGTGGATCCCGCTTGCCACCAGAATCCAAATTGTTCTTCTCCGTATTGTTGCTGCGTTGCGATTTGCTTGTGCGTGGAGTTTCCGGATACACACGGGCATTGTTGAGCTCCGGAGACTCGCTGTCCGTGTCACTGGCGGGCATCAGGGCATTTTGTGTGGGTGAGGTGAGAATGGCCAAGGCCTGCTGCCACTGTGCCTCCATAACACCATGCAGCTTCTCCGCAATGTCAGCACTGCAATGGAATATAGAAAGTTCATAAATTTATAACAGACTTGGTTGCTCTTTGGCTTCGCTTGTGCCTACCGCTTGTTCTTGTAGAAACTCAGTTTGAGTTCCAGCTCATCGATCTTCTTTGAGGCATTGGCCAGCTGCAGGCGGTACAGTTCCACCTCCTCATCGTGCTTCTCCTGTATGAGATTCAGTTCCTGGTTGTTCTTTTCGTTGATCATTTCCAGCTGCTTTACGGCACGCTCTGCTATCAGTCGCTCACGGTCGCGTGCCTCACTCTTGAGATTCTCCTCGGATTTGTCCAGCTGTTGCTGGAATTCCTGCATCTTTTTGGCCACCACATTCTCCATTTGCTGCTGGTAGTGTTGCTTCAGGGACTTCTGTTGTATTTCCAGCTTTTTCTTGAGGTTTGTCTGTAAGAAAAATTAAATATTAACACAGAGAAGGATCTAGAGAAGGAATAACTTCATACCTCGACTTCTGTTAGATTTGCGAGCGTCTCTTGCATTGATTTACGTTGTGTTTCTAGCGCATCAGCTCTAGATTTCTGCTTTTGGTGGTAGTCTTGCAGCATTTCCTTCTGATGCCTCAGCGTGGTATTGTCCGTCTCCATCTCTTGAATCTGTGCCTTAAGCTGAACAAATAAAATGGTTAATAAAAGTGGAACCTTTTGGTGAATTCTCCAGCCGTACCTTCTCCTGCTGATAGTCGATTTTGGCGAATTTATCCCTCAGCTTGTTGAGCTCTGCATGGGATAGCTCCTCGGCTCGCTTGCTGCCATGCAGCTGCATTTCCAGCTGCTCCACTTTGTCATCCCATTCTTTGGCCTCGCGCTGACGCTTGTTCTGTTCTGCCTCCAGCTTCTCGTTCTTCTCTTGGAATTTGGTGGCCAAGCCGACTGCCTGCGCCAGCTCGTGCTGCAGAGTTTCCATTTTGCCATGTGTGTCACAGCGTTCCGCCTCCAGCCGGTGGAGAACGTCTCGCAGTTGTTGCACCTCAATGTGGAGAGTCGCTGCGGTCTGCTCGGCACCTTTTAGAGCTTCATCTTTGCTGCGATCCACCTCCATGGCCACGGAGATGCGCTGCTGATACTCCAGCAGCTGGGACTGCAAAGTCTGCACAGTTTTCTCCAGGTGCTGGCGTCGCAGCTGCTCCTCCTTTAGCGAGGGGCTGCACAGCAGTGGATTGGGCATATTGCTGGGGACAACTGTGCCCGCCATGCTGCTCTTGCCCCAGAGATCACTCAAGCTGATGAGCTGGTTGTTGTTGTCACTGAGGCTGCCGCGGGGGCATCTAGCCGCCTCAATGGATGCCGACGTGGATGTCATACGAATGCTTGGCAGGGAAGTGGCTGCCGGATGATGAATGTCGTGCACAGCACGTACATTTCGCAGGTGCTCCTCACTGTGATGATGATGAATATGATGGTGTTGCTGCTGCTGCCAGCGATTCGTGTTGTTTTCGTCCAGATAATGGTCAATCTCATGCAGAATGTTATCCTCAGCATGGCGACGCCTTGGTGGCTCCACCGATCCACCCTTGGGCGTGGAATGCACCACGCCATGAAACTCCTTCGGCAGCCTGGTACCCGTCGCCGTGCGCACAGTGTTTGTGGAGATTGTGGATATATCGGAGGGCACATCAAAGCGGCCATGATCTTCGCCATCCAGCCCAATGTTCTGCAGTCGTGCGTTTATCTGATTCAGTTCCGTTTTCTTACTGGGCGGCAGGAATTGATACGCTGCCGTCGTGGGCACTATCGGTGGTGGCATGACAAGTGCATCGGCTGCAGCTGCTTCTGCGTTCATCTTGACTTCGTGCAGCAAACGTTCGGCGGTATGGGTGTAGTAGTTGGGCGGGACCAGCAACAACAGATCAGTGTCGTCCGTGTCGGTATCGCTCATGCCTCAAACCATTCTCCAACCTGCCAAAGATGCTCCTCCTAATTAAGATGAAATTTTGTTGTTGGTATGGCGACGCGTAAACAATGGTGGTGGCGGTAGTTGCTTCGATAAATGCATATCGGCATTTTTAGTATTCTTAAGTATCGGAAATACCAAACTCAAGAAACTATGAAGAAATTGCTTTAATCTAGTTATTAACAATGATAAAGTAGGCCTGTCATATACTTTCATATTTAGTTGGCACTCAATTCACTGAGTATTAGTATACTATTTTGTTAGTGGTATTAATCAAAGCAAGCAGTGCCTGAAAGTCGATTTGCACTACCGATAGTCGGAAATACGAAACAAACATCAGAGTCGATTTTTGATACTAGAAATTCCATCTCAAGCTGTATTAATTATTGCTCCAAATTTCGTCTCAAGAAAATTTTCCCGCGCAGGGGAAATCGCGTGTCCTGGGATGGCAGCTGTAAGCTTGAGCATAAACGGAGATCCGGCCGTCCTGCTAGAACCTGGTACCGTCTACCGCATTGGGAGCAAGGAAGAATACGAGTTCTGTGTGGCCGATGAAGTAAGTACAGGCTGCTTAAGTAGTTCTAGCCAACAAAATGTAGTCCTTGCTCTGTTTTCAACTTAGTCCATGGAGCTGTATCATGCACTGGCAACCGTCTATCGAGCGGGCATCCTTCGCGTGAATGCGCTGCTGGGCAAGGTATTTGTGAACGACGTGGAGAACGGCAATGCGGACATAAGCCATAAGGATGCCATCGAAGGAAAGGTGAAGCTGCGCTTCGGAAATGTAAACGCGGAAGTGCAACTGATAGAACCTCTTCAGGTATGTGCAACAATCCACATGTGGAACATGCAATACATTGATATATTACACAGCATCATGACAGCAGTGGCTTTGGGGAAGCCCTCAAGGATACATCTCTAGATACAACAAACGACAGTGTTGTTATACCTGAAACAGAGGTGCAGTCGGTCAACACAACAGCTGACAGCTTCTTTGTGCCTGAAACACAAGCTGTGGCCTTTGACAGATCCACACGTGGTGGCAAAGTTTCGATGGGCGATGACTTTATGATACCGGAGACGCAAGATCTCCTCAGCACACCACCTGCAGTTGTGCACAATGAGGCGAGCAATTCCAACGATGGAAGTGCCTCTGAAATGTGCTCGCAGATACGCATTTGCACCCAGGACTATAATGAGGATGCACTTGAGGACTTTGACACGTCCATGATGCTGGGGTCTGCTGTGGCGCCGCTGGAGATCTTTACCGGATTTTTCAATCAGCAGGGTACGTAGACTTTGTATATTCTCTGGATCTTTATTTAAGTAACTTTTTCCACACAGCTGGCGATGCAACCGACCACGAATTGAGTGCCTTGAATTGGTCCACATCCAATCCAAAATGCACTGCCCTGAACAGCACCAAGGAGGGAGAGTTGCCTGCTCGAACAGTTGCTTGCATCACACCAGAACCATCTGAACAGAATCCATCTCATGATGCAGGAAATTGTACTCCTGATATATTTGATTTGATGGTTGCTGATGGAGAGCAGCCCGAGCCCGAGAACTCCGCCACACCAACGCTTTGCGGGTTAAAGCAATTGGTTGTTGCCAACATAGAGACACCCACAGCAACACCTCTCGAAGTGGAGGACCTCATTGTCACACAGAGCAACGCGAATAATGTTCAGAAAGCAGCCCGAGCCCGAGAGCTTCGCCACACCAACGCTTTGCGGGTTAAAGCAGTTGGTTGTGGCCAGCATAGAGACACCAACAGCAACACCTCTCGAAGTGGAGGACCTCATTGTCACACAGAGCAACGCGAATAATGAAACTAATCAGGATTTCATTCCCACTCAGCCATTCCCATTTCCCACCCAGCTCAAGCAACGTGGATTGCCATCTATAAACTCTCCGGAGGAGGATCGCAGCATTGCGGAGGAGACCAACGAAGATTTCATTGCCAGCACCAAGGAGGAAGAGTTGCCTGCTCGAGCAGTTGCTTGCATTACACCAGAACCATCTGGACAGAACCCATCTCATGATGCAGGAAATTCTACTACTGATATATTTGATTTGATGGTTGCTGATCTAGAGCAGCCATTTCCCTTTAAGCTCAATCCAGACGGATTGCCAGCTACTAATGCTGAGGATTTCAAAGCCACTCAGCCATTCCCTTTCAGAAAGAAGCAAAAGAGGGCACACTCAGACGAAATCACCAAGGATCACAGCGACAATGAGGAGCCCTCGCAGAGCAAGCAAGCGAAAGTGCAAGCGACAGACTCGCCTGCAGATCTCAGCTGCTGCCAGAATATTCAACAAAATAAAGAAAACATTCCAGTGGCAAGTAAGGAAACAGAAGCCAAACCCTCCACTTCAAAAGACGCAGCAGGTAAGGGAATCATTGCTCCATTATAAGGTCTTATTAATTATTAGTTTTTGCCATTTAATGACAGCTTTAAATTCGATTGAATATGATGCTATCATGGAGATGCTGGAAGAAATGGCAACGGGGCCAGCACTGCCACCTGCTGATCCAAACGAACCTCAAATTAAATTCGTTGAACCTGCCATCATCAAGGACGACAACTATAATGCTCAGGTGGGTTAAGCATACATCGCTGCAGGACTCTGTTTAACTATTCCCAGCTTCCTTCCGCAGGTTACCCGAATGGAGTGCGTCTTCCAGGACAAAAACAACCCAGACCGTTGGCGTTTACCGCGACTACCCGAAGGCGCGCGTAGCCGCTTAGCCGGATCGGAGTCACCGCCACGTACTAGTAGGTTTCCAAGTGTTTTTCCTTTCGAGTAGTCCTCGAAGTGCTAAGTGAAAATCGAGTTCAACAAATACCAAAGAATGTTACGTTCCTTTATTTAAAACCAAAATTGGCAATGAATCGCGAGTTTAATTTCATTTTTTAAGTGCGAAAACATTCGTGAAGTTAAATAGTTTTTATTTAAAATAATTAAGTGCGCGTATACATAACTATTACCTTCTATAGCGGGTATATATTTTCGGAAAAATCAGATAGTTTGAATGAAAAGTTTATGAAAATCTTCCTCAGCGGCACAGAAAAGAATCATTTTTTAATTTTTAAAATACAATACAAATAAGATAAATGCATAAATGGGTTAATGAACATAATAAACCAAAAATTAATGCCACAATCCCGACCTACAGCCAGAAACCCAATGCAACGACGCATCTCAGATGAATCACCCAGAATCGAGCCAAGAAAGCGGCCAGCCATTACAGATCAATTCGCAGAACGTAAGTTTTTGGCATTTATTTATTTATTATTATTAATTATTATTATTTGCAGCTCGCAGAAAGATCAGCCGCCCATCCAGATCCTTGTTAGTTGAAGAAGAAGCTAAGGGGGCAGCTAGCAAGGAGAGTACCCCTGAGTTGGTGGCCAAGAAACGGTCGAATAGCTCCAAGACAACAACAAGCACTGAACTCGATTCTGCTTCCATTTCTAAAGCTAAGAAGGCAAGCAAACCCAAAAGAGATGAAGATTTTGTCGTTCCAATTGAGCCACGCAGACGACCAAGGAACTCAAAAACAAAATCAGTCAAAAAGATTCAGGAAGAGGCAGCCGGACATGGGAATACATCCGAAGAAGAAGAAGTTGCACGGGAAGCAAGCAGGCCACAAAGAAGGCTGAGAACTAAGCAAATAACGAAGCAAGAGGAAGCCACAGGACAAGCTAAATCGAGTGCAGAAGTTAAAGGGAAAGGAACCAAGCAGAAGGAAGCCACAGGACAAGCTAAAGCGAGTGCAGAAGTTAAAGGGAAAGGATCGAAGCAAGAGGAAGCTACAGGACAAGCCAATACGAGTGTAGACGTTAAACCGAAACGAACCAAGCAAAAGGAAGCTACAGGACAATCTAATGCGAGTGACGAAGTTAAAGGGAAAGGATCCAAGAAAGAGGAAGCTACAGGACAAGCCAATACGAGTGTAGACGTTAAACCGAAACGAACCAAGCAAAAGGAAGCTACAGGACAATCTAATGCGAGTGACGAAGTTAAAGGGAAAAGATCCAAGAAAGAGGAAGCTACAGGACAAGTCAATACGAGTGTAGACGTTAAACCGAAACGAACCAAGCAAAAGGAAGCTACAGGACAATCTAATGCGAGTGACGAAGTTAAAGGGAAAGGATCCAAGAAAGAGCCCCAGGCAGAGCAGGCCAACACGAGTGCAGCAGTGAAAGGGAGAATGGGGAGAGCTAGGAAGTCCCAGACTCCGACACCTACACTTCTGGACACCACAGATAGTAAGATAACGAAGGAGAAGCCACCAGAGAAAGAAAAACGTGGGGTGGGTAGACTTCGGAAGTCCGAAACACCAACAGAAGAAAAGCCTATAAAACCGAAAGTTAAGAGAAGTAAGACACCACCCACCACGAAGAGGATGACTAGAAGGAACACTGCCAAGGAGGAACCTGAAGAAGAACCACAAGCCAAAGTTGCTGCAGTTCGTGAACTCGTTGTTAGGATTAAAAACGAGAAGCTCATAAAATCCAACTCCTCCATTGAAGAGGCAATTGATGGACCAACAACGAGTAATGCATCAGCACAACAAAAGGAGACTTCTCGGAAGGAGGCAAGAAACAGGAGCAGTAAGTTAAAGAGCGAAGAAAACACTTTTTGAATATATCCTATTGGATTCAGGGAATCTTTCGCATTATACACTGTAATATTTAATGAATTTTCAAACTTTTTGCAGGCATAAGCTCCGACAAGAATGTTTCGTTGTCTCAGGAGAATGCCCTTAAAGGTAAATCTAAACAAATGCTTGCCACGAGTATCCATCTAAAACTGATTCCATCTTTCGCAGCCATTAACCAACATGTGAGGAAGGAAAAAGGAAAAGGAAAAATCAAAATAGCATTCTCCGCGTGCAATTCATTAGATGTTTCGTCTGTTCTGAAGGCCCTAAAGCGTAAGAAAAAACTGCGACATAAATCATTAATCTACAAATGAGTTAATTGCCGTTAAATTATATCAGATTGTGTGGAGAAAACGGCTGATCCACTGAGCTGCGACGTGCTTATCATGGACAGAGGTGATCGCACATACAAATTCCTGGTGGCGGTGGCGGCCAATAAACCAATACTGTCCAGTTCCTGGCTGCAATCCATGCGGGCAACGTCTCGTGTAACTGTGCTGGCGGAACACCTCTTCGCTGACTCCCACTTCGAGAAGATGTACAAATTCGATCCCTTAATGGCCATGCAGCAGCCTCAATTGTTGAGTGGTTTCCACTTTATGCTCTGTGAGGGCATTCTACCCAATCCAAATGAAATGAAAGGCAAGTTCTATAGATACAGGCCTCTTCCCTCCATGCTATAACGTTCGTTGGATTCCCACCCTTTAGCCATTATTGAAAGTGCTGGTGGCAAAGTCCACAAAGAGCCGCCTGCACAGGAGCAGAAACTGTATGTTGTAGCTGTGGCCAAGGATAAGCAGCGCTACGTGCGACGCTTGCGCAATCATGCCCATGTCCAGTACATAAACACAGAGGGCATCATGCAGTCGCTGGTGCAGCACAATCGGCAGCGCTTAGACGACCCAAAGGTACAAATTTGAGTCTCATGTTTGTCAATATTTTGTTTTGTTCCTTGTCTAATTTTGTGTTTTCGTCCATACATCAATATATCTATATTCCATGTTAATTTATTTTCAATTATTAAATACATCATACGATTGTGTGCCTACTGTCGTCTACTCCAACTTCTTTCGCTTGGACCCCGTGGGCTTGTCAAACTGCTGCCGCATGCCGCCCGCGTGCTCGTTGTGGAACTTGATGTTGTTCGAGGTCTCCGCATACCAGGGACAGTCGAACTTCGTGGTATCCTGATCCACTAAATGCGTGTACTTGGTGCGGCCACAGCGACCGAAATTCTTCACCTGCATCACCTTGGGCAGGATGGTCTTATCGAAGTGATCCTCCAGCGTGGCCTGGGCAAAGTCGCGCTTCAGCACATCGTTCTCCTCGTCCAGATAGAAGGCACCACGATGATAGTATTTCTGCAGGAATTTGTATTTGCCTTTGGTGGCCTTGTTGGTGACCATTTTGGGATTCTGTCGCAGCTCCTGGCGTCGCTCTTCCTCATTGAGGCCACGCACCCGATCGATTTCCAGTTTCTCCCGTTCAGTGCTGCAATTAAAAATGTGTTCACTTGTGGCTCAGAACTAAGTTTGTGGTCTACTTACTTGTCGCGCTCTTCGCGGTCCCTCTTCATACGCTTGAGCTCGCGTAACTTCCAGGCCTCGTACTCCACCTCATCGTTGTCGTCGTCAGTGCACACATCCTCCAGGCAGGCTTCATTCGACTCTGGCTTGGTCTTCTCCAGGTCTTTTTTGACGCTGTCCTCCACCATGCGCAGTGTGGCTCGCCTCCTTTCCTTAGCAGCTCTCTTGGCCTCTGCCTCCATTTGTTTCTGTTTCTGGGCTTCCCGTTCCTTTTCCTGGATGGTCGCACGATCTCTTTTCCTGACAAACAGCGGCTTGAGACGCGGCTCGTTTTCCTCCTCGCTTTCGCTCTCCTCTTCGTATTCGGAGCTCTCTGTTTCCGAGGACTCCGACTGTTTTTCATCCTCTTTTTGGAGCACCTCCTCCTCGCGCTGCTGCTGCAGCATTCTCGCCCTCAGCTTTGTGCGCCGATTCTCCATTTCGGCGTCACTCAGCTCTGCATCTGTGTCGGACTCGGAGGCAAGTGTGATCTTGTTGGTGCCCCGCTCGAGGTTCTTCTGCTGCTCTGCGTCCTCTTCCTCCTCCTCGCTGTCACTCTCCACCATCTCGGGCTCGTGGATGTGTCTGTGGCGCTCCCTTCGCTCTCGTTCCATGTCTTCCATATCCACGGGGCGTGCACGCAGGCGTCGCAAACGTGGGTCATCCACCTCAGCCTCATCCCCATCCGCGGCAGCCTTCCCATCAGCACTGTCCCGACGGGCCAGTTCCATCTTGTGGCGTTCCGCTTTGTGTCGCTCCAAGCGCTTCCGGGTGTCAATGAAATCATCCTCGTCGCTCTCGTCCGAGCTGGAGTCAACGCGGGCATAGTCGGGACGCTTGCCAGATATATATCTCTGGACTTTAACTTTCTGCATGGAAATCTCGCCTGCAAGAGATCAGTGTAAACAAGGGAGGCGTTGATTGAGAATTATGAATTACTGCAGAGCAATTTCAGTGGCTTACCTTTCTCATTGCGTACGGGCACCGCACCCGCAGTGCTCTGAATGCCCGAAGGGGCCACGGGAGCACTCATTTTGTGTGAAATTTAATTAAAATATAATTTTTATTTATTTTTACGAGAAATAGTCGACCAGTGTGACCGCTGTCACACAGAAACATATACCTTGGGAACATACCGAAAATATACCGTAAATGAGACTATCCGGAAACGGTCACGCTAGTGCGCAGCATTGGTGTGTGTGTAAACGATAACAGCAAGGCGGCGATAAACTTTCCGTTTCAAACTGAATTTCCAAATTCATCTTCAGTTCCGCTTGGTTCAAATTTGATTGGTTTCAAATGTCCGAATGACGGAAGTGCGATGACTTGGCACCCCCTAAAATGAAGCCAGCAACTAATTGAGACACCAATTAACAACACACATAAGACGAGCCGAGACGGCTGCATATTTTAGCAATGTCAACGCCCACTCTCATTAATGTAATAAATAATTGTTTATAAATTGACTACTACGCTTTCTTTCAGACGATTCATAAGTAATATTGACTGCCAGACGAGTTCTTGTGTAAGATATTGAATAACCACAAAGTACGGAATATCAAACAAAAGATATTTTCATTGATATTGCGTTTTGTTTGTTCGTTTGCGACAGCACGCACGCAGCACGTGTGTTTTTCGGCTCATGTGGTTCTGTTCTTAAAGAGACAAGAAAGAGACAAAGTCCAAGCTCACACACACACACACACACAACTCATGAGAGCGAGAGGCTCGACCAGTTTTGTGACGTTTGTAGTGGCTTTTGCTTGCATCTTATAAACAAACTTTTCCGCTGTTGCTGCTGCCTTTGCTGCTGCTGCTGTTTGCTAGATCGTTTCGGGCCTAAACACTGCGTCGCATTTGCCGAACTGCTTTGAACTGCTTTCGGTTGGCTGGTGGAATGGATTTACAAGATTTACATCAGTCAGCCGGCAGTTAGTTATGGCAGCGGGCATATTTTCATATTAATTAATGCAACACGCTTCAAAGCTGAACTGCATACCCACTGCCCACTGCCCAGTGTCCCTGCCCCTGCCGATTGATAGGTGCTATCCACAAGTGACCTTAGACCAAGGCTCGCTTCTGTTTTGGTGACTTTCCGCTGCACCTAATAAATTGGACATTAATTTGTTGATCTTCTTCTGATCTTGATTGCTGTTTTCCCCATCAATGTGAATTTATGGTGATTGATACTCTGTTTTGAGCCAACCAAGCGGCGCCTCTCGATTCTCCAGAACACATTACATTTTTATTAGAATTAAGCACACTCGCAAGAAATAATTCCAGGCAAACAAATAATTTTCTATTAAGAGAAAGGGGAGAGCAGGAGAGAGAGAGTGTCGTCCCATGCCTGATCAAAATCGTACCAGATCGAACTCGTTATCGTCGTTATCCCCAGCCAGCAATTGCCTGCCATTGAGACGAGGCAGCAAAACACAACAAAAATGAGTGATAAAATCGAGGCACATTATTAATTGGCGCACTTTTTGTTCCTTTGTGACAGCTCTCGGGTGGCTCTCGGCTTACTTAAAAAGTAATAAAAGAAAATATTCAAACACACATCCACACGGGTACAGCCATCACGCAAGCCGCAGCCGAAAGTAACTAAAAACACTTTGCCATCGCGTTGCCTAACAATTAAACTTTTGTATTTTGTTTGCAACTCATTTCATTTAGCATTGAGCATTTAGCCCTTGGTCAATTGATGACAACAGCGTACTCCACCTCTGCCTCTGTCTCTCTGCCAGTTGGAGTTGCCCTCGGTCTGCTGTGCAGATAATTCTATGGAATGCTAATGAATGGGAATGGATTCATTGCATTTTCAGTTCAAGAACGGGAGGTACAATGGGGTACACATTTCTCTCACATTTAAATGTGACTGACAGCAGTTTATCTTCCCCAAAGTTGATTTATATTTTTGCAATAGGTTTAGTTTTTCACGTTTTCCATTACATTACATTCTGCGGAACGAATTGTGCTCCACATTGAAGATCACGCCGCTGTTTGTTTGATAACAAAAAATGTTTAGCTGATGTTTAGGGATTTTCGTCATCCCCCACGTAATATCAAGGAAGTGCTTGAGTGCTATAAAATATAAAATAAGTTGCATAGATCTTTGCATTTGAACAAGATTTTCCCCTGACGCCTACAATCGACTTTCAATTGAGCGGCGCAGCTCTCGCGCTCGGGTCTCTGTTTGAGCATCTCGGCGATCGCATATCCGGCGTCGATAGGCTCCCTCGCTTGCCTTTCTCTTAGTTCGATCTTCGCTCTTTCTTTGGCGCCCGAAGAGAGAGAGAGAGAGAGAGAGAGAGAGAGAGAGCGCCAAAGCCTCGCGTATAGTGGGGTTCCCTCTGCTCGATGATTTGTGATTTGGCGCTGCCTTGGCTGCCGGGGGCCTGCCTCGGCCTGGCTCTCGTATAAAACAGCGTAACGGGCGCTTGCAAAAGTCATTCATTTGAAAATTGTCAATACGTTCGAACAGCGATAGGCAATAAAAGCCAGTGAAAACACAAACCATCAAGGAAAAAGTGCACAAAGTTCAACAATTTCACAACCAGGACAACCAGCTCAAAAAGGGTTAACAAAACTCTCCAAACACAACACCAAAGTGATCAATAACTAATTGTTTGGTGAACTCCAACTAAGAGATAAAAACACGTTAATGAAATACAGAAATAATCAAGGCACCATCTTGCAACTACAATTCAGAACATTCCTAAGACACAGCTGCCTGTGCGCCTATCCACCCGAGTGCTAAACGAAGACGACAGCGACAACGACAACGACAACGACGCAAAATAAATCATTTAAGGATCGCATAAATCCGGCATCAAGGTGAGGAAGTCATTTTAAAACTGAGGTGAAAGCGGCTTTGAGTGGACAATTATAACGCTTTATACCTTCCCCTTTTTTTATATTTATAAAATGGGTTCATTTCAGTTCATTTCTTTGTTAATTCTCATGTTCATATTTTGTAATTAATTCTCCTCTAACCAACTGCCACTTATCGAAGCCCAAAAGAAGTGCAAAATTAATTTGTTTGCCTTTGACGTTGTATATTTTTATTGTCACTAAAAAACTAGTTAAAAAACTAGGCAAAAAGTTAGCATTTTATTGCGAGCAAACAAACAAAAAGCGAACCAAACCAGCTGCAATTAATTTAGCGAACTCATAAATCGATCAAACCAGCAGAACTGTCGAGCAGCTCGGATTTCTCAGTGCCATTAACGGCAGTCTCTAATTAGCCGAAAACCCTTTGCGCCTCCCTGGCCATTGCCCTTACCTAGTGGGCGAACTTTTCATTAGAATTTGTGTGTTCCAAGGTCCAAGTTTCACTCGTGCTAGATCCGTGGCAAGTGCTCTTTCACCAGCTGGCCCATGCCACAACTCATGTCAAACGGTTTATTTTGTTTATATGAATATTAATAATCACAAAAAATAAAGCAACGACAATCGAAGAGACCAAAAACAAAGCGCAGACAAAAACACACGCATACCAATTGGCGGGGAGACAAGTTCCGAGATACAAAAGACAAAGATGTTGATGATTTGCCCTAGTCAAAGGGAAGACAGTCGCAGCGAGGGAGGGCATAGAAAATGCCACCAATTAAGAACAGAACGCATACGACCCGTGTACTGTCTACCACTGTCTCCAGGCAAGAGTGGAAACGTGTTTCCCCCCGGCGCCCACCTCTGTGTGTGTGTGTGTGTCTGGGTGGAACCTTTTCGATTAGGTCGCTCTTCCATTAAGGCATCTCCGAGTGCTGCTCTCTACTCTTCGCGACAGGCCTTGCCTTCAGCTCTCTTTGGATCCGATGGATGGCAAATTTCTGGCCAAAACCGGCGCAATCCGGCTCAAGCCACAAGCCACTGAAATAAACCAGTTGAATTCGCTTAAATCTCAATTGGGCGGCGCGGGAGCATTCTCACTTTTCGCTCAAAACTTTGCCTCAGCCTCAGCCTCGTCTCGTCTCGTCTTGTCTCTTTTTCTCACTCACTCACGCTCTCTGTACATGTGTGAGTGTTTGTTTCCGTATTGCAACAGTGTGAGAGTGCCACAGGAGCAGATTTTCTTTAATAGTTTGAAATTGGCTGGAAAATTGGGAGCAGAGCACAGTAGGGTAGAGCAGGAGAGCGGCTGCGATTCTAAGTTCGGTTGATTAAAATGATTGCCGCAGAGTGTTGGAATCAATTGGATTGCTGATTGATTCGTATGGGTGGACTGGGTTATCGATTGCCAAATGAGGGTTTTTTATGATTTAACAATTGAACGCGAATATCGGAGTTGTTTTTGTAATGGAAAACAGACACCAAAAGCAGCTGATAAATATTCAAAGCTTATCTTAAAAGTAGTTTATGGCATCCCCGTCGTACCCTCTTCACTTTATTGATTAACTATCCCCAAAAACATTTACAACAACTTTTCGCCTTGAGCGAGTGTTGTCGTCGCCCCGTAACGAAAACATATTAATAATAAAGCAATTATTGGTACACCCAAATGGAATTGTTTGTTTAAGGAAATAATATATTTGTACTTGAACATGGAAGCCGGAGCTGTGGCCAATGGCCCGAGCCAGCCCCCACTCACTGCTCCTCCCTCAGATATCGACAGACTGTAGGAATTTCATTTCGTTCGCTTAATTAATTAATGGCGACACCCACTGGATGGAAAGCTTTTGGCATTGCCGCCTTGGTGCAATTTCTTTTCGAGAACCTTGATCTTGCCATGATCTAAGCCGTCTGCTCTGCTCCATTTCATTTCAGTTCGCGCATAACGTTGTGGGGCCACAGTCGGCGAGTGATCGAGCCAAGAAGGTGTCTGCCCCATCAGTTGCCGTTGCAGTTGCAGTTGCACATTCCCAGGCAGGATGTTTGCCACCCAGGATACCATTTTGAAGCTGCTGACCCTCTGCGCTTTGGCGCATTCTATTACCGCCTATGCGCTGCAGGAGAAGAGCCCCGCCGGAGCAAAGGGCTCGGCTGCCCTGGATCCCAGCCACAAGTATTTGATTGTGCGGGGCGAGAGTCCTGCCTCTGTCTCGCAGGAGCATGTGGACTTTGATAATGCGGCAACGCTGCTGCTGCAGGCCTACAAGTCCCAGCAGACCACCGCACCGGACGGACTGGAGGAGTGCAGCGCGCCCAGCCACAAGCCCACCTTCTCCGGCTACGATTACGTGATCCTGCTCGGCATGCTGGTCATCTCGCTGGGCATTGGCATCTTCTATGGGTTCTTCCAGAAGGGCGGCAGCTCCTCCAACGAGTTCCTGCTGGGCTCCGAAATGAACATTTTCCCTGTGACACTCAGCCTCACGACCAGCTTCATCACGGCCATCGAGCTGCTGGGCAACCCATCCGAGATGTACTTCCAGGGCACACAGTTCGTGCTGATTGTCATACCCATGGTGCTCGTCATTCCAGTGGCTGTCAAGATATTCTATCCCATCTACTTCAAGATGGAGCTCACCAGTTGCTATGAGTACTTGGGCATACGCTTCGGCAAGGAGATTCGCATCCTGGGCGCAGTACTCTATGTCATTCAGGTGCGCTGGGAGATTCTCTCAACTGGCAGAACTCTGTTTAATATTTCCTTTATCCTTCAGATGTGCTTCTACACCGCTGTGGCTGTGCTTGCACCAGCCATTGCCTTGTCCAAGGCCACAGGATTGGACACCAAGATCGCTGTCATTCTGATTTATGTGGTCTGCGTTTTCTACTCATCGCAGGGCGGCATGAAGGCAGTGGTCATTGCGGACACCTTTCAGGTAAGCCAAACAAACAGAGGATCCTCAAAAAGCCTTTGCTTAACCTTATTTATTCCCTTTGCAGGCTGCAGTTCTCGCTGTGTCTCTCGTTTTGATTGTGGGTCTCGGCAGCTACTACAGCGGCACACCCATTCAAGTCTTCCAGAAGGCCGCCCAACTCAATCGTTTGGAATTCTTCAAGTAAGTCGAAACACCCAGAAACATATCCTTCGATTTCCCTTCTAATTTTTCCACTCTCTTGCAGCATTGATCCCAATCCGACAACCCGCCACACCGTTTGGTCTGTGGTCATTGGCGGCTTCTTCTACTGGACATCGCTGTTCTGCACCAACCAGGCCTCCGTCCAGAAGTGCATGTCCCTAAAGTCCCTGAAGCTCGCAAAGATCGCCCTGGGCTTTGCCATCCTCGGCTTGATTGTCGTCTTCCTGCTCAACTTTTACACTGGGCTGATGGTCTTCAACCACTATGCGGACTGTGATCCCCTGACTGCGGGTCGCATCTCGGCCACGGATCAGCTGCTGCCCTTCTATGTGATCAATACCTATGAGCACATCTACTCCATTGCGGGCATCTTTGTGGCTGGCATCTTTGCGGCTAGTTTGGGGTAGGCATCGGAGCACACTCCAGGAGCTCCAGGAGTCATCACTCATGTCTTGTTTCTTCCCCATTCAGAACTGTGGCATCTGCCTTGAACTCCCTGTCGGCTGTCACCTGCGAGGATCTGCTTGTCAATGGCATGAACATCAAAATCTCTCCGGAGAAGGGCGCAACCTATGCCAAGTGGATGTCCCTGGGCTATGGCATTGGCTCCTTTGGTCTGGTGTTCATTGTGGAGCATCTGGGCGGCGTGCTGCAGGCTACACTCACACTGAATGGCCTCATCGGTGGCGTCACCTTGGGTCTGTTTGTGCTCGGAATCGCCTGCAAGCAGGCCAACACGAAGGGCGCCTTCTATGGCGGTCTCCTCTCGTTGGCTCTGGTGATCTTTGTGGGTGTTGTGGCACAGATAGCCAGCGTGGAGTCGCCACCACTGCCCACATCCATTGAGCACTGCGACTGTCATGTGAACGTGACGAACATTCTCGAGGATTTGCTCACCGAATCAATGAATCCCATTAAGCAGGAAGGTTTCACGTGAGTTAAGCTGGAAAATCCACTATAATTACGATGCTAATTCGATCCCTTGCAGTTCCTGGCCCATCTTCCGGCTGAGCTACATGTGGTACAGCATGATCGGCTGCCTGTTGACAGTATTCCTGGGATGGTTCTTCTCCCTCATAATCGACTTTAATCAACGACGCAATGTCCTGAAAATCACCGGCAAGGGCGGCATCGACAACGAAGGCGTCTCCGAGGAGGTCTTCAAGAGTGACGACTCCCAAGTGCAGTACACCACTAACAGCACCATCACCACCACCACAACCACCAGCACCGCAGCGGTAGACCCAATCCCAGCCACAACCACAACCAAAGAGACGGCAGGTATCCAGGGGCATGTGAATCATGCCATACGCATCGACGATGAATAGAATCAGATACGAATTTTGGTTTGGAAAGTTCTTTCGACATTCCAGGCCAGAGTGTATTCCTTGTGTAACCGGTAACCTCTATGTACAAACGACCAGTCGCAATCCTAACTGTCCTAGCTTAGTCGCAAGAGTGATTTCTAGTTTTAAGTCCAATCATAGCCCGATTGCTGCTACACCCGACCCTTTCTCCCCCCGCGAGAGCAATCGTTGCCACAGTATTTTGTATCCACAAAAAACTTTACTAATTTTACCACGGAAGTGAATTTAGCTTTAGTTAATATTTAAGCAAACAATAAACACACAAACTTATTGTATTCTTGATTCAGCTATCGCTGCTGAAGCGTAAACCAAAGTTCAGTTCGATTTTCATGTAGAGTGATCATTCTGTGCATGTAGTTATCGTGTAGAATGCTCTACGTGTTGCATACCCCACGTTGCTGAACAAAAAAATGGAAAATTTGTTTGCCATCAGGCGGCTTGAGTATTTGGTTGAGTGGGTGTATGGCTATTCCTGTATGTTTTACCTCACTGCCAGCTGCTGGCTATTCTTTTTTGTAATCCTCTGACTTTTACATGGCAGGATATCTACATAAAGTATACCTACATGTAGATTTCCAAACATCCTTACATACAAAGTGAAGGAACTGCATGCAAGCAAGGGTTTGACATAAAATATAATTAAATTTATTTCAGCAGATGCAATGCAATTGCAATTCCCAGTTCTATTTGCACGGTTATCAAGTGGTAGTTGATTTACCAAAAATATTCAATAATAATTAAAGTATTTTTAATATATTTTTTTCCCCTTTTTGCGTTTCTAAATATAATTAATTTTTTATTTTTAAAATATGTGTTTATTTGTTAGAATATTTTTTATTTTATTTAATATATTTTTATAATATTTTTTTTTTCTGTTTTTGTGAGGTGTCTAAGATCAAACAGAAACACTTGACGTCAGTGTAATTGGCCAGTGAGAACAGAAAAACTGCTTAAATAGTGAGTGAGAGAGTGGTAATTTGTTCGGCCATCAACTTTCGCCCTTTTGCTGGAAGAGAAGGAAGATGCGAGATGCCCACGCTGCTGCACTCTTCTCACAACTTTCGTGACCTACCTTTCATATGTATGTATGTAAATACATATGTATGTAAGCTCAGTAAGTGAGGGAGAAATAAGACATGCAGAAACACGTCCGAAGCTTTCGGACGCATGCATGCACTGTTATCGCAGTTTTCCCAGTTCCTCCCCCCCGTCCCTCATTGAAAGCGTTCGTAAAGCAGTCAATCAAGTCGTGCGCCCAAATATTTTGTTTTGCTTTGCATATTCGTTCGTTGTATGTGTGTGTGTTTCTCGTCTAGCTTTTTGTTTTGAGCTTTCGTTGGCTTTCATGCATTCTTCCTCCATATTTAATTTACATATTTTCATAGATTTTTCAAAGATGTTTATTTCGTTTGTGAATTTAAATTCGAAAAAATATTATACACATATTAAATACAATAATTTTAATGTTGCAATAAATTGTACAATTAAAACGGATATTTACAGTGATTCCTCCTCCGCGTCTCCCGAATCACGTCACACTGATCTCCTCATCGCTGTCGGAGTTCGAGTCATCGTAGTCGTCGTAGTACAGCTTCATGAACTCAGAGCTCTGCTGCTGCTGCTGTTGTTGCTGTTGCTGTTGTTGTTGCTGCTGTTGTTGTTGTTGCTGCTGCTGGTGATGGTGGTGCAATTGTGCTGCTGCTGCCGCCGCCGCCAGCTCCACCTCACGCATGGCCGTAAAGTGGGGTGAGTGGTGGAGCTGCTGCTGCAGCTGCTCGAAGCGCCGCTGCTTCGCCTCCTGGATGCTGCTCTCCAGCTTGAACTTGAGATCGGCCGCCACCAGCTGCTTCTGCATCTCGGCATTGATCTTGGCCTGAAACTCGGCCGCACTGCTCGCACCCGGCGGCGAGGAGGCTGCCGATGAAACCGTTGTGCCTGCACCGCCCCCTGAACCGCATGTGGGTGTGGCCCTGCCCGACTGATCGCTCATCTTGAGGCTGTTTAGGAGTGGGGGTGGCGAGCTCATTTGCATTCCCGCATACCCCGCCGAGGGATGACACGGCGAGCTCCTGCTGCTGACGGACTGCGGTGATTTGGGTGTGACAGCAGCCGGCGGCGGCTCATCCTTGGCAATGCCACCAGGCGGCGGCGGCGGCGTGACACTGCCATTGGGCGACAGCAGGGAGGGGGAGATCGGTGTGAGGGGTCGATCACACTTGGCATCGGACAGATCCGGATTGGGATTGTTCTTGTTGGGCAGCGTCTGGTCGCGGGAGCCGCCGCTGGCCAGCAGCTCCCTCTCCTTGGAGTTTCGCCACTTCATGCGGCGATTCTGAAACCAAATTTTCACCTGCAAACGAAAGGATAAAAAACGGAGTTAGATATGGATTCAATCTTGCAGTGAAATGGGTAAATTAATGCTGTCCATCTTCGGATGGAAAGCTGTCTGGCCCAGGCAGCAGCGGACGTTAGTTTTTCCCTCCAAAAAACTTTTCATGGCCACAGGGGCGGATGAGTTCCAATTCCTTCAACGTTTTTCCGGTCACAAAACAACTTTTTCCCTCCGACAAATAAACTTTTCTGTGGCAAATTGAATCTAAAATCTACCAACTACCCGCCCATCCTCTCAGTTTTCCCCTCCCTACTCTTCCTTCTGCGTTATGTTGTCGTGTGTGTGGGCGTGGCCCTGGCCAGAGTAAAACTTTGAACTGCAATGCCAGCGCCAGACGCCCGAGCATATCCATAATAAATGCAAATTAGAGAGACATTTACCCAAAAGCGGCAACAAATTGATTAGAGGCCCGGCCGCACAGTGGAACAAACCAAAGTTAAGTGCCGAAAAAAGGTCTGCATAGTGGTGCAAAATGTGCAAGGAATGTGTAAAGTTTTCTACGAATTTGTGTACGAATACTGTTGAGGCCACAAAGTTGGTCCAGCAAACATGCTGTAAGTTTGCCATTCATTCATTCCCCCTCTGGACAGTCCTTCTCCATTTCTCTCTCTGTGTATCTGTGTGTTTTCCCCTGTTGCTTTGCTGCATTTGACAGGCAAGCAGCGCAGAGGCACAGACACTTGAAGCAGATTTGCCGGATACTCTGGGACCTGGACCGTGCCACCACCTCGGCGACTGTTTGTGAGTTATTATGTAGTGGGTGTTGCGTCCTTGTTGATGCTGCTGCTGCTGCTGCTCCTGCCTCTTGTGTGCATGCCTATGACACAGCAGGACATTCGCACTTTGTTGCAAAATCCCCACCAAACAATTTGCAACAATTTATGGGCCGCACTCCTTCTTCTTCGGTAATTAGATTGTGACTTGATGTGAAATTTTCAAGCAAATTGATGCGTGAAATTGGAAACTGGAACCCTAATCTCTAAACATTTATAAATAAATAAGTAAAAAAGTTGCTGACATGTTAAACAAGCGATTAACCGCAGAGATTTCTACGACAGCGAACGACTATAATGCCCCAGGGACACGTGCCAAAAATGTTCTCAGTTTGCTGTTCCGCTTACTTCCGGTCATTGAGTTTTCCAACCCACCAGTGGGAATCCAACCAACCACCAGCCCCATCCCCACAAGCAATTGAAATAATAAGCTCAGGCGGCGATAAGATTAATGATTATGGGTCCCGTCCACAGCCCAAAAGTCAGTCGTAACTGGCGGGGGAGGACCCATTACAGAGGGCAGAGGACAGAGGGCAGAGGACAGAGAGTTTTGCTCTAGCCACCGACTGCCCACCGTCGTCATCGTCATCGTCATCGTCTGTTTCTGATGGAAATTAATTATAAAGCGTGCAATTTAGTGTGCCAAAGAGAGGGAGGCGTCTCGGAAAATTGGGCAGCGTACTTCCTTCCGTTCTGTCGCAGACTTTTCTATTTCAACTTTCTATCGGCGGCTACCAAGTTTAATGAGCTTGAAATTATGATGTTTGCCTTCGCACAACACAGCCAATGGGCAGAAATTAAATACAACGTATAAGTATAATTAGAACCTGTTCCAGTTCAACCGATGTCAACGATGTCTCGGACTGCATGCTGTAATTATTCTGCAACGGAAATTCCTCAATCAAACAGCTCGCATCGCATGGAAATTGTAAGTGGAAATATCAGTTGCATTATTACGTACACCGAAACGGGTCGAGCTTTAGTTCTATTATTGCACTGCGAGTACTCGTAATCGTAGTCCCCAGCTTGTTAACAAATATTGGCCATGTAATGTGCCCCTGCCCTGCCCTTGCCCCCCGTACATCATACATATAATTATTGTCTAACACAAAAATATTCGCTTAATTTTTGCCGGTCAGTAAATAATTAAAATTTATGCTAATATTTATGGTGGCTACGGCTACGGCAACGGCAACGGCGACAAAAACCAAAATTCAATTGTTGTGCCACGTAATTAGGGTAAATGTTTTTCCACAGCGATTTAAATTAAGTTTTAAGCCGGGAAAGGCGATTATTTAATAGAGTTTGTGTGTGGCAAAGCTGCACTGTAGTTAGTTTTGCTCCTTGGGAAGTTCCTCTGCTTAGCTTTATCTCTTTCATTTCAATTACAGTCCAGAATGAAGTTCTTCTGCAGCCATTTGCCTACTCAATTCCAGCTAAACTGTTTGCCACTTTGTCGAAGAGCCACCACACATATTAATCTCTGCTGTCCTAACGTAGTTCCCCTACCATGGAAAGACACACAGAGAATAAGCCAAAACGATAAGTAACATATTTTTCTGACACGCTGCCAGCATAACGCGCATGGAATTTGTTTGAAGTTTTTATAAACCACCCAGAAATGAGAGTCAGCTCTTGCTGACTATTGTGGGAGTGGGTAAGCTACAAATTGCTTGGGCCAAGTGCGGCCTGCCCTGCCCTGCCCTGCCCTGCCCTGCCATTCCCCTCTACTACTTTTTTGCTGCCCGAAAATTGACTTTGGGCAATGAGCACAAGCTGTTGTTGCGCTGAGGGGAGAATGGAATGGAGTTGGGAATGGAGTTGGAAATGGGAATGGGAATGAAGTCTCTACCCCCCCACCTATTCGAGTTTCTGACTTCTGCCAATCTCGTCGGGGGCAACATGTGTTAACTAATGAGCCTGGGATACTGGATGGTTGGTTGGACTGCTGTCAACCCATTTGGGCCACCCCCGAAATGTCATTCGATATGCGGCGTAATAGCGTATTAAATAGTCTGCTACTATTTGCCAAAGTCATTTCAACAGCAGTTGGCAGTGCGTTTTGGGTTACTGTCCATCTACTGGCCATGGTCGATTTGTCCACCCAAACCCAAACCCAAACCCAAACCCAGCTCCTGCCGCTCCTCGTTGTGGTTATTGTTCTAGTGGAGGGTCCCATTCCGTCCCCCCCACAGTGGCTGAAGTGTTTGCCAAAGACTTTGGATTGTGGCGGGACGAGCATTTATTTAGCAATTTGTCAACAATTTATTTTGTAACCAAAGCTGCAAATGATGGTTTTTAATGTTTCCCAGGGGGAGGGAGCATCCAGAATTGGCAAATTGAAATGAAATTTGAGTCAGGAACATGTTTCGGGTGTGTTTAAGTGTTCTTTGATTGCAGACAAGTGAAATGGAAATGTAAATTGATTTGGCACTAATAGGGAATCAAGAAAGTTGCCATGGAGTGCAGCAACTTGAAGATATTCAAAGTCTACCATGAGTTAGTAGAGTTTTGGATGTATGGAAAGTCAAAGAAGGAAATGTCAAACCATTCAAAATATTAACTAAACAATACATAAAATATATTCAATTCTCTTAATGATAGCTCAGCCCCCAAACCCCTTCAAAACTATCTAAAACATCCATAATCCATATAAGCAATGAAATCATTCTTGTGCCAACTACCAAAAAGGATAACAAGGCTCATAAAAAACAAAGCAAATCACACAAAAGAACAACCCAAATGGAGTGTGTTAAATATCTGCAGCAAAAAGGGGATTTCGTGGACTCCCACTCAGGGATTATTTATCATTGGAATTGATTTAAAGCCGCCGCAGAACGAAAGAAATCGAAATCACAAACCAAATAAAAACGAAATTCTGGAAAAATGTCTGCGCCCTCGCCACACTCCACACACACACAAAAGACAAGGCAGACTGAAATGAAAATAAAAATATTTATAACGTGAAAAATGCCAAAAGGGCCACACAGTGAGAGAGAGAGAGAGGAAGAGGGACAGCGACACAGTCGGGGAGTTGATTGCCGAGCGTTGGCGGGAATTTCCTTTATCCTTTATCCTTTATCCGCTCTGGCATTCTGGTATTCTGGCTCTGCTCTACGAGTATTTTTCTTCTTTTTCTTTTTTGCTCCCCCATTTTTCGACAAATCAAAAACAGACGAATTTGTTTTGGACATGACACTTAAAAAGTTGCCGCAGAGAAAGAGAGAGACCCAGACACGTGTGTGTGTGTGCGTGTGTGTGTGTGTGTGTGTGTCTGCGGGGGTTGCACGGCAAGTACCAGCCTGACGCCTTTAGCCCATGGCCTTTTGTGTATTGATTTAAAAATGCAAATCACATTTAGCCTCAAGATGTTTTCATTTCCGCTGTTTTGGGTTTGGCTGTGGCAGACGCCTGCAGACAGCAACCAGAGACCAGACACCAGAGACCAGAGAGCAGCCAGCGCTGAAGTGTCATTAGTGGCAATTAAATTTATAGCGAGCGGATTATGAGGCTGGTAACTGTCAGTTGCACTGCCCCAACTGAAGAGGGGCGTGAATGATGCACAGAGTGTGTGTGTGTTTGGGATTATTGGAGGGTGTGTGTGTGCTACGATGGGAATGCTCTCAAGATGGATGGCACAGCGGTATTTAGTCTTTTGATTTGAATACTTTTCCCCATAAAATATTTCAATTATTAGATGTAGAAGCATCGCGGCACATTCTTGCACTCATTGCCAGAGATTTGCCCATTAATATGCAGCTCCTGGCACTCTCTCCGTTTTATTTACTCCAATCTACCAGTTAATAACCATTAGGATACTCGACCACGCCTTTGCACGTGACGTGCATTCCACACAGTCGCGGGGGAAAAAAAAGCACAGACCAGAAAGTCGCCCCATAAATCGCGTTTTGAGCTGCAATAAACGCACGCGGTTTTTGGACCGGGCCCGGGGCCGGCGCGATTTTTCGAGTGCGTTTGTAAAAATCGCAATAAACGTTGCAATGAACAACACTCGAAATGATGAATCACCTGAATCCGCAGCCAGCATTCACCATTCACCAGTCACCAGTCACCATTCACCATCATCAATGCAACGTTTGGCAGACCACAAGGCACGCGACGCTGAAACCATTCCTGGACATCTCTCATGCGGCTGCTCCTGCTGCTGGTCCACTGCAGGCCCAGTGCAATATATGAGAATATTTATGGCAGGCAGCAGTGGGTGCAGTGTGGGGGCTGCAGTGAAATGAACAACAAATGGCCGCAAAAAAGTGCAGCACAACGAAGGATGAAGGCCCTTAAATCATGTTGCATACAACTAGGCGCAATGCAATCCACTCACACAACAGCCAAAGGCACTGACACCCACCCACACATACACTCAACCTGTGTCACTCGAGTGTGAATATCCGCACTCGTTCATCACCCACACCAGCAGCAGCGGCAGCACTCGAACCGTTGTCCAGGTTCTCCCTCAACCCTCAACCCACAGCCCACAGCCCACAGCCTCGCATCCCCCAGCAGCTGCTTGTTAATGGAGCTCTCAGCTTTCTCTCGGTGTCGCCATGGCCGCCGGCTGGCCAACACTTTGTGTGTCCTTTGTCCCGGGTCCCCATTCGTGGGTCCAGCTACCGCAAGCCGGACACCCGCTGCGTTATGATTGCGAATTTTTCTGACATTTTCGCACATTTTTGCACATTTTTGTTGCTTCTCCCTGTCCACTTTGCCTTTTGTTTTTGTCACCGTCGACATTTTCTCCATTTTCAATTTGACAAACTGCAATTGATGAATGCTTTGAACTGTTCTCACTCAAAGATTTATGACCAAAAGTGGGGGATAATAATCATAAAATAATAGTAAGGGAACCCCTGACAATCGGATTTTGAATGCTGTAAAAGGAACCCAAAATGTGCCACATGTGGAAGTCTTTTGATTGCCGATTTAATTCCATAAACTTTCACTTTGTTTATATTCATTTTTGCCTATTCCCCAACAAGTCTGCCTTGGTCTACATAGATACTGGCTGCCTGCCTGCTTGAATTCTGTTCGATGTAAACAACTGCAAGCTCAAAACGATTTAGAGCAACTATTTATGACCCACTTCCACACCGTAAGCCTAATCAATAACAGCGCAACTTGTATAATTCCGCACTTGGCAAACTAATCGTAGACGTTTATAGTCGAGAATTACAGCATCTGTAGCCACAGCCACTACTTGGTATGAGATTGTATTCCAGTGTTGTAGATGGAATGCTCGACCCAGACCTAGGTCTAGGTCTAGGGCATTGTAAGATCATTAAGGTGTAAGTGATCGATCGATCGAGGGGCGTGACATGTGCAATGAGTTGATGAATTCATGTTTCAAATCCAAAACTGGACACGCTTATTGTGTAATTATGAAACATTTTTATGAATTACATGTGCTAGTGAAAGGAGGAAAAGCAACAAAGAAAGAGCTGCACTAATTTGGCAGAACATTGTCAGTCATCAGCATCATCATCATCATCATCATCAGCAGGACTCTGCCGCAGCCGTCGGCCTTTTGGCAGGCATCCCTTCCAATGGTGGTGACAACTGCTGTGTTCTCGTGGAACTGTGTCTCCGACTGCTACTGTGATTGAGTTGTGATCGATCGACATTGTGACAAGCCCGAATTGGCCACGCAAATTCCGTGGCCATGTGAAAATGCGAAAAAGGTTCTTCCTCTGCATTGCGCTTTCTCTTTTTTCTGAGTTGAACAAAAATTAATTTAATTATTGCATGACACACAGTGAGAAGGAAAGGGCAGCCAAAAAGAAGAAAGAAATCAATGAAAGCTGTCCCTCCCTCAGTCGTGTCTGTCTGCCCTCTCAGCTTCAGCCACAGTCTCCTCGGACGAAATGAATTTCTTATAGCTCGTTATAATTTCATTATATTTCCACGCCACACACACAGCTAGCTCCGACCTTTGCTTATATATCAGCTCTGACTCTCCCTGTCTTGTATATATTTGGGATATGTACGGGCTGGCTGGCTGGCTGGCGACCACCCAAGACGACAGCCGCCCCCAGCGACTGCGCATTTCAAGGAGCAACCGCCCTGCCCTGCCCAGCTCCCATTACCTTCTTCCGCCGCTGCTGCCATTTTCCACTCTGCGCAGCCATTGCCGAGCCAAAGAGCTTTGCTCCCTGTTCCAGGGCGGAGTTTTATTTTCATTGTTCGCTCTTTGTTTTTACTGCAGGAGTGCGAGCACGAGTACGAGGACTCTGTGTATATTTTATATTCCCGTCGCCTTTTGTTGTCTGCTTATTTAAAGCTGATTTGAAAAGTTTCATCAGCGGTCAAATATCATTTTACGAGCATAATGGCATAATTTTATTTATGCTCTTAGTCTGGCGGAGCTTATTGATTTTTTCAGTGGCATATCACAGGCGATGGGCCAAAGTTTAGTGGATAAAGTTGAGGCCAAAGTGGGCAGCAGCGGATAAATGCTAATTGAGTGTTTAATTTGAAAGTGTTACAGGGAAAGGGTAAAGATTTCCTTTGAAAGAACGCGGAGGAGTTGATCAAAGGCCACCTGGGGTACAATGTCATCGATGCAATGGCATTCAAATGGAAGAAAAAAAGTTAGAAAGGGGGCACCCGGATTTGAACCAGGGACCTCTCGATCTGCAGTCGAATGCTCTACCCCTGAGCTATACCCCCAACTGGTGAATACGCCCAAATCTGTCCAAATAAACGCCAAGATCGAAGCTCACCTGAGAGTCCTTGAGGCCCAGTCTTTCGGCCAGCTTCTTGCGATCCGGCTTGCTGATGTATTTCTGCTGCTGGAAGCGCTTCTCCAGCCCCTTCCTCTGAGAGTCTGCAACAGAAGCAACAATTATAAATTATCCAGGATCCAGCATGGGAGCTTGGTGTCCCAGTCCACGCACCTGAGAAGACGGCACGTCGCATCATGCCACGTCGTGGCTTGCCACGCGTCGAATGGGCCCACGGGAAGCCCTGGCCCGGCGGCAGGGGAAACACTTGGGCGCCAACTGCAAGTGCAACAAACGGAAGGGAGAGCGAGGGAAGTAGAGGAAATGCATTAGACCAAAACACTTGTTAATGCGCACTGCGGGTGGGCTGTGTCCAGGATTCAGGACTCTTACCACTCATGTAGGGATTGCGGCAGTGCGCCAGCAGCGAGTGCAAGTGCGGATGGTTGAGGGTGTGCGGCAGGAATGGGGTCGGTCGACTGGGCATGGGCTTCGCAATCACCGGATGAATCGCTGGCGGTGGAGGCGGTGGCGGTGTGGGCAATCCCCCGCCACCAGCTTGACCGTTTAACAGTTGCTGCTGCTGAAGCTTTTCTTGCGTTAATCTTCGATTGCCATTGTCCTCCATGTCGCCATTTGCATTGCCCAACTCCTGGCCGGAGTTACTCTGACTCTGGCTCTGGCTTTGGCCATTGCTGGTGCTGGTGCTGGTGCTGTGATTGTTGTCGCTATCACTAATTGTGCTGCCAGGTGACGACGACGAGGATGCGGCCGTCGTCGCTGCGGTTTGCGGTTGACAACTATTGCCAGGATGCGGCTGCTGCTGGGGATGTGGATGTGGATGCTGCTGCTGCTGCTGCTGCTGATGCTGATGGTGGTGGGAGTGTGGATGTGGATGTGGATGCTGTGCATGTGGATGCCCCGCCAGTTGATGCGTTAGAAATGCGGGATGCGGAAAATGGGCTGCATGCCCCGGCCCATGATGATGATGATGATGCGGCGGCGGCGGCGGCGGCTGATGGTGATGCGAATGTTGCAACTGTGGATGCTGCTGATGGTGTTGGTGATATTGATGTGTGTGTTGTTGCATAAAGTTTTGTTGTAGATAAGGCCATATATGCTGCGGTTGCATGAATTCTGTGAGCGGCGGAAGAAGAGGTGGGAAAAACAATTAGTGGTGACAGCAATTAACTATAAATGGGAGGCGGAATGATCAGGCTACTGGCAGACACTGGGTGGAGGGAAAAGTAACAGTCAGTTGGTCAGAGGAAAGTATAACCCACACTCTTTAATGTTTTATTTGTTATACAATTAAATCATTATCTTTTCAGCTACTCCCCCGCCGAGAAACACAGACTTTCAAGTTCCAGTCAGCATTCTCAGATTGTCAGATTGTCAGCCGTGGAACACGCAAACTGGCAGCTCCAAGACAGCAACTCCTTGCCAACTTCCAGACAGGCAGCACCAACACATCGCATAACCCCAAAACAATGGCAGCCCAAATCTGCTTTGAAGTGTCAGTGTAAAGTTGGCATAATTAAGCCCCAACCCCCAACCGCCAACCCTCCACAGACAGACACAATCGCACCTTGAGAGCAAACTTTGGCGCCTTTCGTCTCGGATAGGGGTGAGTTTTTGTGGGGAGCTTTGCTGGCTGCATTTCATATTCTAATTAAACACCCCAAAAAGGCAGGCAGACGCCATTGCTGTGGCTGTCTCGCTCTCTCACCCACGCAGCCACAAGCACACTGTTTCTGTCTCTCGTTTCACGCACATTTTGACAGGCTGGCAGGCTGGCTGGCAGGCGCTGCAGGATATGCAGGATATGATTTTAATTCGATTAGAGAAATGAAACAATTAACGTATTAACGCCTCTTTAGTTCGCTCCTGTGTGTGTGTGTGTTCCCTCTGTTCGGTTTGATGCCTCGCATCTTTGTGGTTCACAAGTTTTTGCCTGCCCGCCACCACCACCACCCCCAAAAAACATTTCCATTTCTGTGGAGCCTCCGATTTCCATGTGTGTGTGTGTGTGCTGTGCGTTGTGGTGTGGCACATGTGTGCCTAATGAGCGCACAAATTAAGTTATAATTGTTCGTTCGACTTTTGTTTGTTTTCTGTTTCTGCCCCACGACTATCGGCAGCTGTGCGCTGTGCAAAATGTGCAAAATATCTGCCGCTAAACGAAAGTTTAGGCAAAAAGGCAATTTAGTTTTGGTTCTTGGCAAATCAGTCTAATTGGTTCATTGATTGAGAAACGATGCTAATTGCGGGTGGGACAATCTAGTGGAGAAAGATGGATGAAAAATTATCACTTAATGCTACACAAAGTTGGCCTCAAGTCTCTTCTTTTAACTCAAGCTGCATTAGCTTCCCATAAACCTCTAATATATATTTATATGCGCTCATCTTTTGTGCCAATCTGCCTTCCATTTTAATATTTCTGCCACGCTTCTGCCATAAAAAATAATCACAGGCCAAAAACGTTCCATTTAAACCCCAAAATATTGGCAATAGAATCGCATAAAAAACGCAGAAAAAATATGGGATATCAGCTAGTTGCAGCCCACTCATTAATATTCGAATATAAACCCGACAACAGTAATCACATGACAATTACAATCCCGCAAATGCCACAGAGAGAGAGAACAAAGAGTGTCCACGGCATGCATTCAGATTCAGCTAAAAAACGGCCAAGGCTGAGGCTGTTACATTGACTGATGGACGATTTGTTCCGCCTACTTTTTGTGCGGTCCCACAACCCTAAGGATCCCAAGGATCAGCCACAGTCATCCCCCGATGTGAGCAGCACGCGCAGCCGCAATGCAACGAGCGGAAGAGACAGAGGATCGCCGCGGAAGTCTCATCGGAAGAGTGGAACTGGTTGCGGCACGGCATTTAGCTCGATGGGTTTCAGGCCCAATAATTTAAACATGATTAGGTGTGGTTGTGTTTTTACAGCCTGCCAGGCCCCGAGGGCTTAGGGCCACACAGACAATAATAAAAATGCACGGCGCAAAAAACGAAGGCAAACTGCGATGTACCAGGAGAAGGATCAGCATCAGGCGGCAACCCATTTTTGGACCAGAATTTTGTTATTCTTTTGGCTTTTCATATTGCAATTGTATTTCTGTTTTGTTGATGTTTGGCAAATTAATTGCCAAGCCTCATTTGTGTGGGGATCCGTTTTGTTGAGCCTCTCGAAGGGATCGACGCATCTCTTACCATTCCGCACGCGAACTCCCTCCCGTGTGTCGCCCAGGATGGCGCTGACACTGAACTTGAGAATGGGTTTGCTGTTGCTATCCTTCAGGATGGTGGTTGCCCCGGCCGCCGGAATGGTGGTCTCCTTGTGCTCCACTTTGGGCAATTTGATTGCCTGCATCTCCTCATCGTCCAGCTCCTCATCCTCCATGTGCGGCTCCTCCTCAATGTCGGCCACAATCTCATCCGCCGACGAGTCTTCATCGTCGTCCATCTCCTCGATGCTGTCGACACTCTCCGCACGGTGCTCCCGGCACTTATCACACTTGTAGCCGCGTTTCGAGCAACTGCAGCTGTCCGCCCGCTGCTCCACCGGGGACACCGACATCGACTCTGGCTGCGGCGGATCCCGCGACTCCGCGACACTCGATTCCCCGGCACGACGCGACAGGAGCATCTCGCTCAGGCTCGACTTCAGCTGGCTCTCCGTGTAGGTCTGCTGTGCATGCAGAAGACTGTCCACGAGAAAGGCCGTTGACATTACGCTCGATTCTCTCGCTCTGTGGGTAAGTCCTTTAAGTTTCTTCTTTCCGTGTTTCGTATCCCGTGTGTGGCCGTCGCGTTCGCGTCGAGTGCTCAAATCGAACTGAATGCAAAGCCCGTGCAGACTGTGACATTATCCTCGGCGCAGGAGCTCTGCAGCAGCAGCAGCAGCATCTCGCAGGAGCACAGCACAGGGGTTGCTCGGCGGTGGTTGGTCCGCGTCTCCTGCCCAGTCGTCGTCGTCCTCTGGCTCATCCGTGTGGTGTGGCACGTGATGCTGCCAGCCAGACTGCCTGCCTGCCTGCCTGCCTCCTTATGTACTCAATGTACTCTCTCTCTCTCTCTCTCGCTCTCTGTTGCTCTCTCTTTCTCTATGTGTGTGTGTGCGTGCGTGTCCTGCTCGTTATTGTTGTGCGCTTTTTATTTGATTTTATTTGTGTGAAAACAATAAAAATTTAATTTTCTTGTTTTGTTGCCTTTGCCCGTTGCCCGTGCCCGTGCCGGTGCCCGTGCCGCCGCCTTGAACTGTGACTACCTCTGCCTGCCTTCCTCTTCCTCTCTATGTATGTGTGTGTGTGTGTGTCGAGTCTTATTAGATTTGTTGGCACCACCACAGTGGGGCAAGTGCTCATGGCTGTAGCTTTTGATCTTTGCAGGCTGCCAAGTTTTTCTTTTACTTGAGATCAAATTTAGGAGCCAAAAGCCTCAACAGCTTTACTGATTAATTGCTGTTGAATTAAGAGTATATTTAAAGTCAAAACTGCATTGCAATTTGTACAAATATTTTGACTACACTTAAAAGTGAAATTTAATAGAATTTTGATTGTATCTTTGGCATACCATTTCCTTTAGTTCTTTTGAATTTCTTTGCGCAATTTGTTGCAGGCAGCACCAACCCCCACCAACAACGACCATCATCAGCTAACAAAAATAGAGAAAGAAAGAGAAAACTAAGCCAAAGGGCGCACACAGCCAAGGAGTTAGTAGATTAACTTTTATTATGACCGCAAATTAGTTGTCCTCGTCGTCGCCGTCGTCGCTGATGACGACAATCTACAATCGACGACAATGATGACTTATTTACTCAAAGTAAATGCGAATATTGCTACGAATCGGTTATGTAAGGCTTTGAGCTTAGAAGAGGCAGCAAAGGATGGAGGGACTGCGAGTGCGAGTGCGAGTGTCTGTGTTCTGTTGGCCTTTTCTATGTGTGTGCTGTGTGTGTGTACACCCCCACCCAATCTATTGTATAAGAACTAGACACACACACACACACAAACACACACACACACACTCGTAAGGGACAAGGCTAGTGAGAGCAACAGAGAGAGGAGCAACCCTTGTTGCGGCTGCTTTCGGGGCTTGGAAAATTGCAAGTGGTTGGGTTGCCGGCTGCCAGTTTGCCCAGCCAAAGTCGGGGCGTGGCCTCACTCGAATCGGAAACCCATCAAGGGGGGGGGGAGGGGGGTTTAGCAGGCGGAAAAGTGCTCTCCACAATAATAGGAAGAAGTACGACGAGGAGCGATAACAAGAGGCCATGGGGCTGCTCCTTCCACTTGTCGATTGTTTTGCGCTGCCATTTGTGGCTTTTTGCTTTCATATGAAGCACGCCTCAAAGGATTACCCGAACCCGAACCCCCAGCTCCAGCTCCAGCTCCAGCTGCAAAGTGGATCCATGCTGCTCCTGATTTGCCTCCTCTGCTGGGGCTGCCTCTGCTCTGCGAGTACATAAAACATGCTCATATAAGCGTATAAATATGTGATAATAATGATTAAAAGTTCTCATCATGCCATCATCATTTATGCAAAGGATTTCTCACTGTCTCCTGCTCCTCCTCCTTCTCCTTCTCCTTCTCCTTCTCTTTGTGTGTGTGCTTGGCAGTGTGTGCGCTGAAGAGTCCTTACATTTTTATTTGGCACCAACACATGACTTAAGCCGAATATTTTCCATTTTCCACAATTTGGGTTTGGCTCTCTCTTCCGTTGTGTTTGGGTTCTGTGTATCTCCGACTCTTACGCTATGATTGCTTCATTCTTTGTAGTTGCCATAATATGAGGACAATTATTTGATAAGTGGGTTGAATGTGCAGCAGTAGCACCAGGAGCTGTCGGAGCCTTTCCTTCTGTTCTGGTTCGGTTCCGTTTCCGCTTCCTGTTCGCTTTTCGCTTTTCGCATTTCGTATTTGTGTTTTATCTGGCATTGTCATGGCGCTGCTTTTTGACAAATGAAAGGGGTCGTCACATCACCAAAACAGGCTTTTGATATACATCCTCCCACTTCCCCTGTGGATGCCACCACCCCCCCTGACTCCATTCCTCCTGCTCCCGGGTGGACCGGAGGACCAAGTGTTAAAGACAAACTTTTAATTGTTTTTCAGAGTGTTGACTTGAGTTGAGTTTATTTTTCATTTTTATTCAGATTTTGTATTTTATGGAGTTTTTTGTTTGTTGTTTTGTCTGTAATTTGTTTGCCGAATTGGAAATATGTAAATTATTAAATAATGCCGCTGCTGTGGCCGCCTAAGGGCTGGGCCTGTTGTGGGGATTATTGTGCTGTAAATGTTGGACTTTTCGTTTTGGCTTTTGGCTTTGTGCTGAAAATGAATATAAGAAGAGACTTTTGGCTGTGGCTGAGTTGTAGATGCAGCAAAGTGTGTAGATGCCAATTTTATGTTTATTCTGTGGAAAGATCAAAGCGTGGCTTCAACCAGAATTTCTTGGATATTTCTTTCGTCTTATAGGCAAACTTATCGGCTCTTTCTTCAATTCTGAACTGACACTTTTCAGCAGCAGATGTTTCGTTCCACTATCTTGATATTTCTGGATATCTACTTGCTGTTTCATATTCAATCCTGAAGCTTGTAATAGCTCCATTTAATTTCCCTTTCGTTTGACTCTTCAGCAACAGATTTCGCTCTTTCTTCTTTATTTTTGTTGAACTTCTTTCTTTCTGTGGCTCTATCTTGACGCTTCAACAGCCAAATCCCCAGAGTTGCAGCATGCCACATCATTTCCATGCTGCCACTTCAAGAGCTCAAAACTCTTTTGCAAGTTTCACTTTGATTCACTTCCTTGGCCGGCCATACATTTTTGGGGCAGGTAAACGCAAAGACTTTTCCTGTGTCGTAACTGGAATGCTGCCACATGCCACTCCAGCTTGGAGAATAAACAACTTCATGGCTTCGAATGGGAATGGGAATGCCAATACGAATGCGAATGCGAATGGAATCGAATGCCATTGACAGCCGCATCATTATATGGATATCATTATCGTGTATCGACTGCTGCTCCCCCGCCCTGCCAGGGGGAAATAAAAGGTAAAATGTCACAAGATGCTGCACGTTGGCTCTGTGTGGGTGTGCTTGCTTGCTTGCTTGGTTGAGTGGCAGTGGCAGTGGCAGTGGCAGTGGGGGGCGTGGCTGGGCAATATAATAAAGCGCAAACATTTATACACGACACTCGATGGTGGCTCGAAGGACGGCGATATAGAAAAAAGCATTCCAACCGACTTAACTGTCGATATCAGCTGCTGCCATGGCCATGTCCTCCAGTTGGACTACCCATAGCCCGTACCCCTGTACCGCTGTACCCCTGCTCCAGCTGCTGGCCTTCAGCTCCATTCCCTTCCATTGAAATGAATGCGAATTCTGTTTGGCATCGATTTTCAGGACAACGTTTATTATTTTTATTATATTCCGCACGGGAACTAGGAGGGCAGCAGGGGGAATCCACAGTGTGTGTCTGTGTCTGTGTCTGTGTCTGGGGTGGCTGGCAAATTATGGGCTTTTCATAACGTTAACAGTCGCATAAATACGCTCTTTGTGTCAGCCAAGTAGAAAAAATGCGATAAAAGATTATAAAGTGTGTGTTGTCGCTTTGGCTTTGGCTTTGGCTTTCGGCTTTCGGCTTGGCTTTTGCTGCCCAGGATGGGGCACAGAAGTGTGCTGGGTGCTGGGTGCTGGGTGCTGGCTGGGCGTGGTGTGCGGCGACATCTGTTTCCGACATCTTTTAATAAAATTTTCATCTTTATTACAAAACGATTGTTTTATGCGCCCAGCCAGTGCAGCCAGACTCCCGCAGCCCATCTGCTCCCTCTGCTCTCTCTTCGAGGCGAATCTCTTAGCTGGCCAGAACTTCAACTTGAACTTGGACCGGCGGACGTGTCCTGCTGCCGGAAGTCCTTCAGCGAGTCGCGAGGAAGTAATTAGAATGAAGCGATTTTTGGGCGCCAACTTTTTCTTCACTTTTTTATTTGCACTTTTTTCTGCATAAAGTTTTTATTTGCTGCAAAACAGTTTATGAAAATATTATTATTCGTTCTCCCTTATTTTATTACTTTATTTCACGCACTCCTTTTATTTACTGACCCCTCAATGCCCCTCAATATGGAAATAATTGCCAACTTTATTGGTTAATTTATGAAATTTACACATTTAATGGTTGCCTCTTTGTTGTTGTTCTATGCTCCACGTATGTGTGTGTGGCTTGGGTGGTTCGGTAGTTGCGGCTTTTGCGGTGGCTCGCTTATGCCACACAATACCATCCATATATTTATTTGTTTTTGGACAATGTGCTCGGGTTGGTTGGTGCAAAGTGGAGAGGAGGAGAGTGTTGTTCAGCTGAGTGGCTGTTAAGTGGATCTGTTTGTTAGCTGCATAATGAATTGTGGTTAATATTTAAATGCCAAAAGGTAAGGTATGGCAAAGGGGAACCATGGGTTATCCAACACTTTTCACTCTGCTCATTGTCTATTCTCTTTCTCGCGCTTTACAATCGCCCTCCTTATGTCTCTCCACTTGCTCTAGTTTCCCCTTCTTCTATTTCTATAGTTTATGTCTCTTTCCAGCCTCTCCATCTCTCTGATTTAACATTCAACTCTCTCTTATGGGACTCTTTCCTAAATGCAGTTCATGATCTATGGTTGACCTTCCCCTCCTCTGGGTTGGTATATATTTTCGCAATTTTTTGCTGGAACTTCGTTGATTTTTGATGTACGCATGAGGGCGCCGATTAAGCCAACTGGAAAATTTGCCCAGCCCTGCCCCCAAACCAAAGCATTTCCCTCACCAACTCCATGGACCACT